GGTTTTAAAACAAATTAAATCTTGATTGATCATAAACTTCGGAAATAACATTAATAGTTAGTGTGGTTAGTAAGTTAGAGCTGTTTTTGCAAGTATAAACCATCCTTAATTTAGACAATAAGAAGCTTAATTTTGTTGAACTAAAAAAAAAAAAAAATCTAGTATATTGCTTGGACATCTGTTTGTTAGTAACACATATACAACAACAAACTTTGTTTTTAATTTTAGTTTTTTTTCTCTTTTTTTCTTTTGTGTGTATGCAGCCTAGGATACAGGATGTGAGAGATTAATTTTATTATGGAAATTTGATAATGTTTTTAATTTTTTTTTTTTCTGTCTGCAGACTAGGATACAGGATGTGAGAGATTAATTTAGTTATGGAAATTTGATAAAAGGAGAATTAAAGGGGTCATGAAATGAGGAATTAAGAATTGGAAAGAAAATCTCAACAATGAATCATGATATATATATATATATATCTTTCACTTTTAATTGTTAAAATTTGTAACAACTTTTTAAATAAAAAATAATCATTTTTAGTAAATGTAAATAAATCTCAATTATTAAAAATAGAGAGAAAAATAATTGAGATTTTGTGTAAATATCATGTGTAAAATTTATAAGTAAATATCTACTGATATATATGTTAATGGAGCAATTATTACATATTTTTACTATTAGTTTATATGAAAAATTACAAAATTAAAATTTATTTTTAACACCAATGTCGCTAGAACAATTTAGTTAAATAATTAATAAAATTAAAATCAACTTTTATTATTCTATAAAATTGAAGTGTTTTATAAGTCGTCTTTTAAATTTTTTTTTGAAAAACACCGTATACATATATATATATACATATATGTATATATGTAGATATGAAAATTGACATATATAAAACTTTCAATTCAATACTTGATTTTTAAATATTACTAATTAAAATGTAAATTTTTAGACTTTTTTTTTTTAAAAGAAAAGAAAAGAAAAGAAAACGAGTTTCACTATATAACCCCTAATCCCCTATGTTTATTGAGTACAACTTCGTGTCTTTTATTCTCATTTGGCAAATAGAAGAACATCAAATAAAATCTTTCACTTCCTCTTTTGTTATATTTTTTTGGTCGGGTTTTGGCTTGTAAAGCAAGCTATTTGAATCAAATTATTAATTCCCCAATGGATGTATTTATTTATTTATTTTTATTTTTTGGTATAATAATTTGTAATTAGTAGTAGATTAGACAGCAACTGCTAACTAATTTCTAATTTTACGTCGTTATACGAAACATCTCTTTCATAGGATAGAGAAAGGTTCAATTGTGGAGTATAGAGAAACACATACTTCAAACCTCACATTCATGTGGAGAATACTTTTATATCAATGTATTATGTTTTTTTATTATGAATAAATGAGTACTTTTTAGTTAAATTATAAAGCGAAGTTGATAAAATTATTTATAAGTTCTTAAGTAAACTAATTAATTTTGCTTTATTTATTTAATGAAAGAATAGCAGTTGGTTCGAACTCCGAACCAAGCATAACCCTTGGTGAGTTGGCTTACAGCGGTTAATCATCTTAATTATAATCTGAATTTTAGGATGGCGAAAACCCTTCTTTAGCTCCTAAATGTTGTTGGGAATTTTGAATACCACAATTCCACACAAACAAAAGTAATAAAGAAATTGAGACAATAATTTAACGTGATTCGACTTGTACACTTCTCAACAAGTTTACGTCCACGAGAAAGAGAGAAATAAATCCACTATTAAGAAAAAGAGTACAATAATTTGAAAGTTCTCTCACTTAAGAAACTCTCAACCCCTAACTTCAATTTATAGAAACTCCCAAATTCTCCCTAATACTCTTTCTTAATCTACACAAGGATTTCTCACAATTACTCTCTTTCTTTTCTCTCACAAGAGCTCTCCCTCAATTTCTCTTGCTTCTACTCTTGCTTGCCCATTGCCTTTGCATGCATGGGTATTTATAGTGAAAAATCAAACTACCCATGCACCATTTTTCTTTGCCTCATTACCACCCGGCCAAGATTTTCTTTGCCCATTAAATGGGTCAACATGCAATTTTTGAAAGATTTCAACAAATCAATCTAGCCCACAATTGGCTTATAGGCCAGTGAAGCAAACTTCCACATGGAAAGTCCATGTGTTCACATGCATGAGGTTGGACTTTCTTCCAACAAATGTGACCTAAATTAGAATTTAAGCTCTTAAACTAAACTCGATGCAAATAAGCCATCTAATTCATTGACTAGTGCAAAAAGTCCTTTATGACTAATTACCGTTTAACATAGACGGACTACTTTTGGGGGTGTTAATGTGGTGATGTAGGTGCTAACATGGATTAAATTGTCCTTTTGATTTCTTTTGATTTTTTTATAATAATATAAAAATAATTTTTTTTATAACTTATAAATATTATTAAATGATTAGATGTATATAATATTGTTGGTTTCAATCAAGTAAAAACTTAAAATTAAAGAACTAATCATTAAATAATACATAAAATTATATAAAAAAATTGTCTTTAAATTATTTTTCTTTCTCTTTTTTTTTTTATTTAAAATTTTCAAAATTTCGGTGAGACCCAGAGATCCATCCACATCAATATTTAGAACAAATGAAAAGGAAGGGAGTAAATGGAGTCAATCTAGCTGTTTGGGCCGTTGGTGCTGTTACTCATAGAGGCCTTATTTGCAACAATCCAGGAGTTAGAAGGTGTATTTACACCATTTTTAGTTTAAGGGCTTAAATACTAATTCAAGATAAGTTTAGGGGTTTGAGAAGAGTTTTTACCATACAGGTTTTGAAGAAGTAGCGTGAGGAATTCAATTTTTAATTCAATACACCTTAATTGGAGTACTTCTTAATTACTTACTTATTCCGTACATAATTCAGAAAATAGAATTTTCAGTCAGAGCCTTCAAATAGCTTAATGGTGAATTACTATTACTGCCGCTTATTGAGGATGTATGGGAAAGCTTAAAAAATAATTTGTTTAAAATAAATTTTTTTCCATAAATTTAAAATTTTATTTGATAAAAATTTAAAAATTAGTCTTTAAAATAAATTTTTAATAAGTTTCGAGAAAACTATATACCTTACTAATCATATTATTGATTAAATAAATGTCAACTTATTAGTTAATGTCAAACAGATATAATAATTGCATCTTTAAACATAAGTTATAAATACTTTGTTACTAGTGCTAGAAAATAAAAAAAGAATTTTTTAGATTAAAAATACAAAAAATATATTTTTTATAAATTAATAAAAAACACAAAAAATATATATTTTTATACTAATATCTCAGAATCTATATATTACATTAGTTGTAAAATTTAAATTTGAGATTTTATTTAAGAAAATAAAATCATTTTCATTTAGACCAATAAGTTATTGATATAAAATGTTATATTAATTTTAATATCAATATGATCATATAAAAAAATACCATTATTTGAACATTATAAATAAAAATATAATTATTGCAGTCTTAATTAGTGCATGCCTTAATGTTACATTTTAGAGAAAAAAAAAATACAGTTTTAGTCAAGGCGGGAATTCATCGGTAAAAACCGATATTCCTGGAGAGCTTTGTCAGGAAAATCTGTTAACCGTTGATCCAAATCCAATTCCTAATTTCCTATATATAATGAACTCCAAGCAATTCAGCAGAGTTTCGGCCGCCATTGTATGGGTTTGAGGGAAAGCATTGCTACTTTGGGGTGGCAGATCGAACTTACTCTCTGATATCTCGTTTTCCTAACATAAATGACAAAAGGCTTTAACCATTTTCCTGGGACTGGGGTGACTTTCCGGCCTACTTACCCTTTGCTGATCTTCGATATTCGTTCTTCACCGTCGCCGGAGCCACGCTCTCTCCCTTCTCCAGAGTCGATTCCTCCTCCTGGTTTCCCTAGGAGGTCAGAAAATACTATATTTTTGGCATTGTGGTTGATATATACTTCTACTGTCCGTGTATTGGAATTTAGAAATGAAAATTCGTGTTGATTATTAGAAATGTTTGGATATTATCACCAAGAATTTAACAGATTTGATAGAGCGATTAATTAAAAAAAATTAATGTTACTGAAATTCTAAACAGTTGCTTTTCAATGTATTAGAATGTATTAGAAAATGATATATCACTAAAATTATAAACAGCTAATTCCAATGTATCAAAAAAATTTTGGGGCACATGTAAAATATTCTTAGGAATGAAATTTAAGAGTGATTATCAACATTTTGAAAACTTGAAATGATGAAAGGATATCATTATTTTCACCTAAGAAACAAAATCCCACTGGCCAAAGATTTCATGGAAGAATACTCAATTCGTGGTTTAGACTCTAAGGAGACTGCTTTTTTCTATTCCACCAGTATTTTTCTTTTATCTTTATGAACAATTTCTTCTTCGGTGTCTATCAAAGAAAAAGTAAGTTTGAAAGTGACCCTTCCTTCCCCAACTTTGTATGCTCTCCTATATAATGGACTCTTCTCAAACAATTTCTTGAGCAAACTTCTTCAACAACTCCTCTCTACCCTCTTTATAGTCTCTTATTGACTATACCCTTTATGCAGAAGAAACCTCCAATGGCTGGTACGGATTCAATCAGCATCACCAACGAATCTACACATGAAAGCATCATCGAGGAATCTACGCATGAAACCAGTGGTTCTCCTGTCCAAAAGAGAACTGGAGGGTGGAGATACGCTAGTATCTTGCTAGGTATATATTCAATTTTTCACATGAAATATTTGAGACTCTTGGTCCTTCCCACCTGTCTTATTGTCAGCAAGTTTGTTAAAGTTTCGCGATATGAGAGTATAAAATTTAACTTTAAATTGGGTGCAGTGAATCAAGGCCTGGCAACACTAGCTTTCTTTGGGGTTGGAGTGAACTTGGTCTTATTCTTAACTAGAGTTCTTAATCAAGATAATGCTTCTGCTGCCAATAGCGTTAGCAAGTGGACTGGAACAGTTTACTTGTGTTCATTGATTGGAGCATTCCTTAGTGATTCATATTGGGGTCGCTATTTTACATGTGCAGTCTTTCAGATGATACTTGTGCTGGTAATACTTTTACATTCAATCTTATCTTTTAATTGTTTTCGTACACTTTTCTTAATTCAATCACTTCTGAGTTTCTAATTAATCTTTAGTCTGACTCTAAATTTTGCTATCTTAACAGGGTCTAGGTCTGTTATCGGTTTCCTCTTGGGTTTTCTTGATAAAACCTGAGGGCTGTGGGGACGAAGAAATAGCCTGCAAGGCCTCGACATCAGCTGGAATAGCTATGTTCTACACAGCAATATATCTTGTGGCTTTTGGCTATGGAGGGCATCAGCCAACTATAGCCACTTTTGGAGCAGACCAATTTAATGAGGTGCATCCCAAGGAGAGGCTCTCAAAAGAAGCATTTTTTTGCTACTTTTACTTTGCGCTTAATGTTGGATCACTTTTCTCAAACACAGTATTGGTCTATTATGAGAATTCAGGGAGATGGACACTAGGTTTCTTGGTTTCTTTAGGTTCAGCTGTAATAGCCTTAGTGTCCTTTTTGGTGGGGACACCTGGGTACAGGTACATTAAACCCAGTGGCAATCCTGTGCCTCGTGTTGCTCAAGTATTTGTCGCAGCATTTAAGAAATGGGATATTGTCCCAGCTGATGCAGGTGACCTGTATGAGGTGGAGGGACCAGAATCTGCAATCAAAGGGAGCAGAAAGATCCTTCACAGTGATGGATTTGTGTAAGTACTGATCTTTTTATCCGAAAGATTTAGACTCAGCTTAACTTAGCTTGCTGCTTGATCCTTAAATTGCTTGAAATTGGACAGGTTCTTGGACAAGGCAGCTACCGTAACAGAGAATGATTTGCGTGGTCCAATGGATCCATGGAGGCTTTGCACTGTGACTCAGGTTGAGGAAGCCAAATGCGTCCTAAAAATGTTACCTATCTGGCTCTGCACTATAGTATACTCTGTTGTCTTTACCCAAATGGCTTCCCTATTTGTTGAGCAAGGAAATGTAATGTTCTCTGACATAGGAAACTTTCACCTGCCAGCTGCTAGCATGTCTGCTTTTGATATCTGCAGTGTTCTCATTTGCACGGGAATCTATCGACAAATTCTTGTACCTATATGCGGAAGATTAAGTGGTAATCCTAAAGGATTGACCGAGCTTCAAAGAATGGGAATTGGCCTCATCATTGGAATGTTAGCAATGGTTGCAGCTGGCATAACTGAAATTCAAAGACTTAAATATGTTGCTCCTCATCAAGAGACAAGCTCTTTAAGCATATTTTGGCAGATTCCACAATACGTTCTAATTGGTGCTTCCGAAGTTTTCATGTATGTAGGTCAGTTGGACTTCTTCAATGGACAAGCTCCAGATGGGATTAAAAGCTTTGGAAGCTCCCTCTGCATGGCTTCAATTTCTTTTGGCAACTATGTGAGTAGCATGTTGGTCATCATGGTTATGGCCGTCACAGCAAGAGGTAGCAGATCCGGATGGATCCCCGATGACTTGAACAAAGGCCATATGGACAGGTTCTACTTCCTCATCGCAGCACTCACAGCTCTTGATTTTGTGATATACTTGTTCTGTGCTAAACGATACAAGTGCATCAACCTTGAGGAGGATGGGAAGACAATGGAGATGCAAGGCCAAGACGATGAAGCGGTCACACGAGTTTAAAAGTTCTCTTAGTTTATTTTCTCCCTAGTGTTTGAATATACTTTTTTTTTTATTAGCAAAGAGTTTGAATAAATTAAACTAATTAAACCTAACTATTGGTCCTTGCCAATTGTGCTAAACAGAACCTTGATAATCATAAATTTGAAACGAAGGGGCTTATTAGACCGGAAAAATTATCAAGGGGCTTAATTGACTAAAATTTACAAGTTCAAGGGCTAGAGTAATAGCAACCAAGAAAAATTGAATGATAAGAAGTAGATATGTGGAGGAAAATCCTTCAACTTCATCCCAAGTAGAGGCACTTAATAGATGGCAACTTGCCGAGTCAAGAAAAAAAAGATGAAATGATATATACTCTGTGCTTGCCTGCAATTGACGTATATGCTTGATTACAGAAGCAATTATAGGAACAAAATCTTAATCTTAACATCCAGAACACCACAAGAAATGTCACTACTCCCTGAGTGGGTCTGCTTCTCGACACAAAACTCTGTTGATGACGTTTGATGCAACCTAACCTGCGTTTGCACCATGAAGATGATAGATATGTCAATTCAGGATCAACTTCCACCTCCCCCATTTATGAAAACATGTTGAAGAGAGATTTGATGACTCACCAAACCCCATAGATTTCAATTTCAGTATTTAAACCAAGCTTGCAATTACAAGTGTGACGCATTATCCCTTTTTTTACATTGGAAATAGATTTTGAAATAAATTACGTCTTAAATTTACTTTTTCAATTTAGTAAAAGACAAATTACACTTATTTGATTTGAATGTTTTCATATGTGATAGACAATAATAATAGAAAGTGATCATTAAAGAAAATCCAAATATGGGCAATTATGTGCCCTCGTGCTCCACCCCACCGCTTCTATGTCCTATTGTAGTGTTTTCACATCAGGCGTGGACTGGAACCGATCACCATGTAATATCCATGGTGATGGGGACACGGACTGTGGAAGAAGAAAGCTGTAAGACTCTTCAACAAGAAATTTCAAGCAAAAAGAATATGTGTGTCAGAGTGTCGCGCTTTCAAATTAAAAATTCCATAGAAGATAAATGCCAAGTAACTTATGTAACAGTACCTTTCCCTGTGCACATGCTTGGCCCAAATATAAGACCAAATCACATCATCTTTCATGTTCATGGATCTTAATAGAAAAATACTAATCATGCTGTCTTGGTCTGATTAAGCATCCACTTATGATGTAATGAAAAAAACAACTTGCCTTTGCTTAAGCAATCAGATTGCTTCTTTAGATTTTATTACATCATCATATGGGTATAGTTTATGTGTAGAGCTGGTCAATTGCATGACAATGGTCACAGACTAGTTTCTGAGTAGGTTTTCTATCTCCTTCAACACATAAGCAGATATTCAGACGAGTATATTTTCTGCACCAAAGATCTTGCCTAGGATTCACCTTCCCCATGTAAGACAACAATGTCTGTATATGAGATCATGGAACAGGAAAAACAGAGAAACGCAAGATAAGAATTAAAAAGGAATTAACTAATGCAAACAAAATTAGAAGATGCTTATCTCTCTTTGACCTCCACTACAAAAACTCCCACTAGTTTTTAATGTTCCATCATCTTCATCTCTCCCCTATAAAAATTTTCTCAAATTAAAGTAGTGTCTTCACATCATATATATATGTGAACATAATTATATATGCAATTGCACCCCCTTCCTCTCTTTGGAACATATCGACTGTGAAAAAGAAACAACACAGACCTTCACAAAGGGAAGTCATATGGTAGGTGGCTCGTCCAGCAGGCTCCAGCAGTCAATATCAATCCATGATCATAGATCAATACCTAAATTCTAGTCTTAGGCTCTCCAATGAAAGCAATTCGACATGACCCTTGATCATTATTAGTGCGTAATCGGCTTGTGGTAGTCAAGGTAAGCAATCTAATTATGAATTCATGAAAAACATGTAAGAGGCCCTGAGTAGACTCTTAGAGCTTGTGGAGAGAAAAGCAATGGGATATTACACATTCATTCAAATTTGGGGGATGGAAATTGGATAATGAGACCTCAGGTGCATCGTATAGTGGAAAATGGTGACCCTGTGACTATCTTTGATGTCTGTATCCACCTACTAGCTCTATACCAATCATCAAATTCAAATTCAATTACACTCATGTTTTTCTTTCTTTCTTTCTTTTTCTTCTCTCTCTCTCTTTTTTCTTTTCATTGAAATTCCTCTTCAATTACACTCATGTTCTTCTTTTCCAAGGGCAGAGCTATATATAGACCAGGGGGAGGTGGCCACCCCTAGGATTTGAAAAAAAAAAAAAAATTATTATTATTATTAAATTTTTAAATATTGTATTTTTAATTGTTAAAATACATAAAATAAAAAAGATCCAATAATAATAGGTTGTTTTAAGAATCCAAATATAGTTTATATAATCCATTGTCCAATTTAACAATTTAATCATTTATTATTATTTAAAACTCATCCATCTCAAGTCCCACAACTGAATTATGTAGAAAAAGAAAAAAAAAAAAAGGGTTTTGGTGTCTTCTACGTCATTTCTCCAATAT